AGTAGTGGTGAGAGTGGGCACCCTTGTCTTGTTCCTGATTTCAGGGGAAATGCTTTCAATTTTTCACCATTGAGGGTGATGCTTGCTGTGGGTTTGTCATATATAGCTTTTGTTATGTTGAGGTATGTTCCTTCTATTCCTGCTTTCTGGAGAGTTTTAATCATAAATGGGTGTTGAATTTTGTCAAAGGCTTTCTGTGCATCTATTGAGATAATCATAATTTTTTAAAAATTACTGTCATCAATGTAAAAGCATGGGTTATTTTTCCATTTCTTTGAGTCATCTTCAATTTTATTTTTATTGTTTTGTAGTTCTCAGCATATAAGTTTTTGACCTCCTTAGTCAGGTCAGTACTCAGTACTGTACTCATATTGATGTGACTTTTTTGTTTTTTATTGTATTTACTTTTTGAATTTCTGTATTGTGATATAGTATTCACAACAATTTTATGATCTTAATTTTTTTATTTTATATTGGAATCAAGTTATTTACACCTGCTGTGTTAGATTCAGTTGTAACAGCACAGTAATTTCTTTTATCTATCATTTTTTCAGATTCTTTTCCCATAGAGGCCATACAGTATATTTAGTTGAGTTTCCTCTTCCATACATTAGGTACTAGTTGAATATGCATTGTATATTTTGTACTTTTTATATGTTAATCCAAGCTCCTAATTTACCCTGCCCACCACCAGTTCCCTTCTTAAGCATAAGTTTGTTTTCTCAGTCTCTGTGTTTGTTGTCTCTTTTTGTTTTGTAAATAAGATCATTTAATTTTTACAGAGCCTCCTTACTATTATCTATACTGCTGTACCAATTTACATTCCCACCAGAAGTGTAGGAGAGTTCCTTTTTCTCCACACCCTGTCCAATATTTTTATTAGTAGACATTTTAATTCTGGAAATTCTGATCATAGAGGTGATGCTTCATTGTGGTTTTCATTTGCATTTTGTTAAACATTACTGATGTTGATTCAATAACACAAATCATCATTCCTGTGATTTTGGGCCATCTGTAGGTCTACTCTGAAGAAATGTCTATGTAGATCTGGCTGGTGGCTTCTAATTGCATTTCTAGTGTTTTGATACTGATGTAACCAAACTGTTCTATAATTTCCAGGTCAGTGTCTTGTGGATCACATCATTTGTAATTATTTTGTCTCATCCAGTAGGTTGTCTTTTCCTTTTGTTTATGGTTCCTTTGCTGTGCAAAATGATACTAGCTTGATTAGGTCCCATTTTTATATCTTTGGTTCATTTTCTATTGCCTTGGGAGACTAACCCTAAGGCAAGAACTGTGCAATTTCTCTCTTGAGAACCTTTGCCTACTTTTTTCTTTGGGAGTTTATGGTGTGATGTCTCTTATGTGAGTCTTCAAGCCACATTGAATTAGTTTTTGTTGAATGGTGTGCATGTGGGTTTTAATTTCAGTGATTGGGATGCAACTCTATAATTTTCCCAACACTGCTTGCTGAGGCAGTTGTCTTCTTCTGCTTGTCCTGGGTTGGACAAAAGGTTCCTTCAAGTTTTTCCATAGCATTGTACAGAAAAATCCAAGTGAAATTTTTGGCCGGCCCCGTATATTCTCGATTTCCCTGTGGAATATTAATTGACCTTAGGCGTGTAGATTTGTGCCTGGGGTCTCTCTCCTTGTCCGTCATCCTGTAGGTCTGTTTGTTGCCAGGACCCCCTCGTTTTGAGTACAGGAGCTCTGTAGTGTTGTGTCAAGTCTGGGAGGGTTCTGCCTCCTGCTTTGTTTTTGGTTCTCAGGATTGGTTAGGGAATTGTCTGTCATGTATGCGTCCACATAAATTTCAGGATCAGGTTCTAGCTCTGTGAGGGAATTTGATAGAGATTGCATGCAATTTATAGATTGTTTTGAATAGTATGACCATTTAAAAATATTACTGCTCTCAATCCAAAAGCATGTGAAATCTTTCCATTTATTTGGTCATCTTCCATTTTATTTGTAGTATTTTATGGTTCTCAGTGTATAAATCTTTGACAGCTTTAGTCCAGTTAATTCCTCAGTACTATATTTATTCTGATGGGACATTTTTGTTTTTACTATACTGTAATTTTTCAAATTTCCATATTGGGGATAAATATGCATAACATTACCTTTATGATCTTAATTTTTACAAAGTTTTATTTCATATTGGAAAAGTGTTGATTTACAGTGCTGTGTTAGACTCCATTTTAATGCATAAAATTTACTTATATCTATCATTTTTCAGATTCTTCTCCACATAATCTGTCTAGGATATTTGCATTCCCTGTTGTACACATTAATTATTTGTTGAATACATATTGGGTGTAAGTAATGTGTATATGTTAATCTCAACTCCTATTTTAACTTGCCCATCACTAGTTTCCCTTCTTAAGCGTAAGTTTGTTTTCTCTGAGTCTGTAAGTCTCTTTTTGTTTTGTAAATAAGACCATTTAATTTTTAAGGAACCTCCTTACCATTCTCCACAGTGGTGATGCCACTTATATTCACACCCAAGGGTATAGGAGTGTGCCTTTTTCTCCCATCCTGTCCAGCATTTCTTACTAGTAGACATTTTAATTGTGGAAATTCTGATTATTGTCGAGATACCTCATTGTGGTTTTCATTTGCATTTTGTTAAAAAATTATCGATGTTGGGCATCTCTTCCTGTGCTGTTTGGTCATCTGTAGGTCTGCTCTGGAGAAATATCAATGCAGATCTTCTGCCCATTTTCTGATTGGGTTGCTAGGGCTGTGACACTGAATTGAGCGAGTTGTTAGTACCTTTTCGAGATCAGCGTCCTGTGGATCACAATATTTGCCTCTACTTCCTCCCATCCAGTGGGTTGTCTTATTTTGTACATGATTTCCTTGGCTGTGCCAATGGTCATAAACTTGATTAGGTCCTATGTATGTGTTTATGGCTCATTTTCTATCATCTTGGGAGACTTACC